TTTCCTAGGTCACCCAAACGTACATTGCCTTTATTAAGTCATTTCTCCACCTGCCAGGCAATGCCATGGTGAACTTTTCTTTTGCAGAATGTGTTCTTTAACCATAAGAGATCTGGCAAGAGTAGACTGGAAGTATGGGCTACTGCCCAGAGAATTCTTCCTCAGTGTCAGAGAAACCTCAGAAAATCATGGATTGTATTTGTTCTATCGGTGCTGATTTTGACTTGATGCAATTAAAAGACGATAAATTGATGGTATAATAGAGCAGAGGCTCATAAAATCTGAGGATCTCATGCCTAGGGACTATGCCTAAGTCATGGAGATGAGGAAAAAAAATGGGGAACAGTTCTATAGTTGCTATGAAGAAAAAAATAACTAAACTACCTTTCAACAAGAAGCCTTGGTGGCACCATGGTTAATGATCTGCTGCTAACCAAGAGGTTTGCAGTTCTAACTAGCAGCTCTGAAGATTACAACCTGTAAAGATTACTATCTAGAAAACCCTACCCTATCATATAGGGTCACTGGTAGCATAGTACCTAAGGCACTTGACTGCTCACCAGAAGGCTGGCGGTTCAAACCCACCAGCCACTCCTCGGAAGGAAGGTTGGGCAATCCTATTTCCGTAGTGATACTGCCTCGGAAACCCAAGGAGGGGTTGCTATGAGTTGGGCCGACTCGACGGCAATCAACAACAACAACAACAAAGGGAGCTCTGGTAGCATAGTACCTAAGGCACTTGACTGCTCACCAGAAGGCTGGCGGTTCAAACCCACCAGCCACTCCTCGGAAGGAAGGTTGGACAATCTACTTCCGTAGTGGGCCTCGGAAACCCAAAGAGGGGTCGCTATGAGTTGGAACTGATTCGACCGCAGTGAGTTTGTTCGTTCGTTAACACCTTGAAACAAACTATATTCTTGAGAGTGCATTGATGCCCAATACAATACATGGTTGTTTATACTCTTTTGCCCATTCCTGACTTGCTCCATCTCCTATTCTAAGGTGCTACTCCCTGCCCACCCTCTCCTTCTGCCTTTCTCTGAACATTTTGTTCCTATTTTCATTGCCCTAACTTCAAACTCCCTCCTATGACCCCAGGAGAGTGCCCCCTCCTACTGCCAGGGGAGGCTTTCCTAGTCTCTTGCTAGGCCAGCACAGTTGAGGTCATTGTTCTCCCTGCCAAATGATTGGCCTGAGTTCAGTTTCTCCATCTGTCTGAGCTTCATGGAAAACATGATTGTTGCTCTAGGCTCTACGTCCTGTTTTAAGTCTGCTATGCATCTGCTTTTTTTTTTTTTTTCCCTTCTCCCACCCCCAATTCCTTGTCTTTTCTTTCCCTGACTCTCTCCAGACTAGAATCACATCTGTTTTCCAGTCTGTGCCCTCTCACAGTGCAGCAGATGGGAGAAGAGCAAGTTCTGGGCTAGACACATCAAGAAGACCTGGGTTTTGTATTCAGCTTTTTTCTAGGGAGTAACCAGAATCCATGTCTCTCAGAGATGGGGCTCTTATGGTTCCCTAGGAGGGACCAGATCTGTTTCTGTAGTATTATTTGCTTACTTCTATGTTCATTGCTATCCTTTCCTCCCAACTAGACAGCCTGCTTGCGTTCTTCTTTGCTTTCTTTCTTTTTCCCTTCTTTTCTTCCATCTAGTCTATGATCTATTAATACTATCTGCTCTCTCTGTGTACTTGTTGTTAGCTGTCATCAAGTCAACTCCCAATTCATACTGAGTCCATGTGTTACAGAATGCTACCATGTGTTAAAAAGTGTAACTACTCCATAGTGTTTTCTTGGCTGTAATCTTTATGGAAGGAGTTTGCCAGGCTTTTCTTCCGCAGAGACACTGGGTTGGTTTGAACTGCCAAATTATAGGTTATAGCCAATCACAAACTGCCTGTGCCATCCAGGATCCAAGTCTACCAGTACTCTAATTTAGCTCATCAGAGAAACACAATGTAGACAAAGGAACTAACAGATAACTTGAAATTTATGCCCTTTTATTGAATGTAAAAGGTGCTCCAGTGGAGTAGTGGTTAAAGTGCTCAGCTGCTAACCAAAGGGTCAGTGCTTTGAACTCACCAGACCTCTGCAGGAGAAAGATGAAGCAGTCTGCTTCTCTAAAGATTTACAGCCTTGGAAATCCGGTGGGGTAGCTCCCCTCTGTCCCAAAGGGTCGTTGTGAGTCAGAATTGACACAATGGCAGTGAGTATTGAATATAAAACCAACCATTCCTCAATCTTGAGAGTCTCTGTAATTCAAGTGACTCCTTCCAAAGGTGGGATGTTGTAGTGGTCTAACCCCTAGGGACTCTACGAATAAGAACAACACAAATTCTGGATCACAGAAAGTGTTATCTACATATTACATGATCTGAGGAAATAAGTGGCGAAAAATAAGGCAAACAGGATAAACTTGGCTCCCAGTTTTCTTGGGGCTTCCGATAGCAAATTGTCTTTCAAATACCTAAAACCAAGTTGCACAGCAGACGCTTGAACAAAGACCAAAGCCAGAATAAGGCTGACATCTCCTCTTATGGAGCTCCTCCACATTTAAAAGGTCTGTGAGGATTCTATGTCCCTTATTTTTCCCCTCTAACCTTGAGATGGCCAGCCCTGCTGTTGGAAAAAATTCATGTCCTGTCTGTGTCTGCTTGGACACAAAATGAGTCAGAAAAAGAGTGGGTCAAAAAGGAGGCAAAGAGGCGTTATATAGGGATACAAAGGAATATGTTGATGTTGAAGAGATGAGTGTTGAAAAAACGTGAGAAAGGAAGATGGAGAAGTGATTCTTGCTGAGGTAGAAACAGGCTTGTGATGTGCAGTAAATGCTAAGGATGAGGTGGAACTACTTAGGGAAGAAGGAACCAAAGGAAAGCAGAGGCAGCTGGGGCCAGATTGAGAGGGAAAACGGGCTGATTGCAGAAAGACATACATGATCTTGGGCCAACCCTTCTATCACTCACCAGTGTGGTCATAACCTTTGGAATGAGGGTGTGAGCAACTGCAAAATCCCTATCCTCCTTCTCATTCCATCCTCATTGTAACACTGCATTCTACTTTTCTTGTCTGGCTTTCTTTCTCTCCCTCACTGTTTCAGATTAGGCCAAATTTGAAGTCTGCTCTAGGGAGTGGCCCTGTTCATCTTATTCTCCAGCCAAAGTAGGAATAGTGCGAGAAGGAGAGAGACATATTCAGCAGCCAAAGAACTCGGTGGAAAGAGCAGAGCACCGCGAACAGTGAGTTGTTTGTTTAAAATTCCAAATAAATAGAGTGTGTGTGGAGCTGGGAGAGGGGAGGTATGGGAAAGGGGCAATGTCAATGAAATTAGAACTGAACAGACCCCTTCCAATTATCCGTGGAATTAAAATGAGGACACCAAGAGGGGCAGAAGATCTCAAAATGCTATAGGTGGAGGGTGGATGTGTATGTGTGTTGGGAAAGGGTTAATGGTGAATGTCACTGATTTGAATTTAGTAGGACTCCCCCCACCCTGAAAAAAAAATTATCCATGCAATTCAAATGAGAGAAGACACCAAGAGCAGAATATAATAAAAAGCTACAGATAAAAAGGTAGAGTAGGATTAGACTCTAGATGAAAAACACCATGAGGTAGGGGTAAGTATGGACCATTTAGAATATAAAATACAATATAAAACTTCCTGATTTGATAGAAGAGTAACAAGAGTGAAAATAATGGCAGGTTGCCAAAGAATAGAATTTAAGAAAGAAATAAATGTTGGATGAGAGAAGAAAGAGAAAAAGAGCTTGAATCATAAGAGGAACCCAAGAGAACTCCTTGGAAACAAAGGGAGGGCCCTAGTATATTCTTGGAAGTGAAATGCCAGTATGTCCCTAAGTCTTACACTCTCCTCTCCTCACCTCCCGTACCAGATATGCTGCTCTTGAAACCCAAGATACTGCTGTTTCTCACTGTGCTCATCATCCCCTCCGGTGAGTCCCTGTCTTTATTCTTTTCTACCCCAAATGCTGACTCTTCAGCTACACGTGAATTTGGAGGTGGATGTGTTGGAGAGAGAGATGAAAGAATATAGATTGGTGAGGAACAGAAAGGGAGATGCTTGCCATTGGGGTGTACAATTGCTATCAGAGAAAAGAACAGATTTTTTGTCAAAGGAGAAAGGGCAGGAATGTGAATAGATGACCTCAGACTTGGAAAAAGGTATCCTGAGAGTTATGAAACTAAAAGGAAATTAAGATGCACACAAATGCATGTTAACCAATGGCGAGTCACACACATAAATGTGTTAAGTAAACAAATGTATACATGAACATATAGACAACCAAGTAAGAAATGGGACCAACTTTAAACTCTGAAGGAAAACAATGGGTAAATATACGGTAACACATAAACACTTGTGCCAGCGTGTTGTTATTGTTGTTATGTGCCGTCGAGTCAGCCCTGACTCATAGCAACCCCTCCTTGGGTTTCCGAGGCAGTATCACTACGGAAGTAGGATTGCCCAACCTTCCTTCCGAGGAGTGGCTGATGGATTTGAACCGCCAGCCATCTGGTGAGCAGTCAAGTGCCTTAGCCACTATGCCAGCATACACACATATATATTCACATACAAACTATATATGACACAGCTACATGCAAAAGAAAATTGATCTTTACAGATTTCACAGAAACTAGTTAGAAGATTGGACACAGAACGTAAACTTCAGACTTTAAAGATATCTTAATTTTTTTTTTCTTATTCTGCCAGACATAGACTGTAAGAAAATAACTCCACTGCCTTGTTCAGAGAGTTGGAAGAATGTGAAGATAGCAGCACTGTACACACGAGAATGGCTGTGGGCCCTTTCTATGTGATGGGACCTCACTCCTGGTCAGAAATTAGGGCAAGAGGGAATCTGGGTCAAGGCAGAGCAGAGCAGGCTTTGTTCTCGGAACTTTTCCTCTTTTGTGAGTGTTTTCTAATCAGGTTAGTGTGGAACACTAATGGTCGGAGTAATTTTGTATTGACCTATATAGGAGTATGAACACAGAAAGAGAAAATTAAACCATTTCTCCACCATTTTCTGGTTCATCTCATTAAAGAGTTATGAAATAGAGATGTGGAGTAACTCACATCCCTTTTCTGTTTCCTTTGGTACAGAATGGATAACCCCAGGTGTCAATGGTCAGCGAGGAGGTAAGCAAACCATTGGATCTGGGCCCTCTTGGGGTTCTTATCAGGATAATGTGGGTGAAAGGTCAGAATTAAAGAATCTGGGCTAGAACGGAGATACATTGTCAACATGTGGGAAGTGGGATTTACTTCACCAGTTTCCACAGCCCTGTTTTTGTTAGTTGCTATCCAGTCAGTTCTGACTCATGGTGACCCCTTGTGCATAGAGAACTGCACTCAGGTTTTGCAAGGCTGTGACCTTTCAGAAGCAGATGACTAGGTCTTTATTCCAAGGTGTCTCTGGGTGTGTTCAAACTGCCAACCTTTAGGCAAGTTGTCGAGCGCTTGACTGTTTTCACCAATCAATTCATGAAACCTTTTTTTAAAAAAATGTACCACTGAAATACCTTTTCCAAGACCTTCCTTTATGCCCATCTCTTGTTTCCACTCACCCTCTATACATCTCTTATCTCAATCAGAAAATTCTCCCTAATCCCTACAGAATGAATTTGTCTATCCATATAGCAGCTGAGAAAATAAAACAGAAAGGCAGTGTAAGAAGTCACCTCAATACGACAGTGAAACTGACACAACTGCACAGTTTTGGCTCTCAAAGTACCACTTGATAAAGGAAACTCTGATCAACAGCTCCACCCTGCTCCAAGGCATTCACCATAATCATTACTTAACTCCTGCTTTTCTCAACCAATCAGTGTTTGAGGACAGACCACTGTGGTATGCAATCTGTTAATGGGTCATATAGGCAATTATTAAGTCACAAATAATGTTTTCTAATGAATTAGAATAGATTAAAATAAAAAGATCAGAGTACATTGCAATAAACCAAAACCAAGCTCACTGCCATCAAGTTGATTCTGACTCATAGTGACCCTTACTGGGATTCTGAGGTGGTAAATCTTTATGGAAGTAGATCACTCCATCTTCCTTCCACAGAGTGGCTGGTGGATTTGAACTGCCAGCCTTCTGGTTATCAGTGAAATGCCACCAGGGTTCCTGCATTGCAATACTGTATTGCAATAAAACCAAACTCACTGCCGTGGAGTCGGATCCGACTCATAGCGACCCCTCCTTGGGTTTCCGAGGCAGTATCACTACGGAAGTAGATTGCCCCATCTTCCTTCCGAGGAGTGGCTGGTGGGTTTGAACCGCCAGCCTTCTGGTTAGCAGTCAAGTGCCTTAGGCATTATGCTACCAGAGCTCCTTGTATTACAATAGTAAAGTAAGTGCTTGACTAGTAGCTGAAAGGTTGGCAGTTCAAACCCACCCGGGGTGCCTCAGAAGACAGTCCTGACCATCTACTTCCAAAAGGTCACAGCCTTGAAAAGCCTGTGGAGCACAGTTCTACTCTGTACATAAGAGGTTACAATGAGTCAGAATTGAATTTGATGGCAACCAACAACATCCTGGAATACAATATAACACATACTTCTCACTGTGGGTGCTGGTATGGAAGCTGAAAATATAGAAATAAAAACCTTTCCTTCCTGTTGTTGGTAAGGATGTCTGTCTGAGTTTCTGAGCCTAGATCAGATTTCAGCACTTTGCATAACTAAAAATCATCTTTTGGCTGGTCGTGATCTAGTCCTGTTTTAAGACTTTGGGATGCTTTCTAATAAAAATGATGAAAATATTTTCTTAAGATACCTTTTCAGAGGACATTCATGAATCCTAGATAAAGTATTTATATGGTGGTAGCCCTTGAGAAAAGTGGGCAAACTGAGGCACATGCAGAAACGCAGTGCTTTGCCTTGAAATACTGAGGAGCCAGCTCAGACACAATCTCAAGCCCTCTGTGTTGCTTCACCCCACTGATTCTGTGAATGGCTAGGCTGGAATGTGACTAGGCTTCTAGAGGAAGGGAAACCGGGCAGGGCTAGGCTACACCCTATAGAGCCTCCACTCCCCTCTGAAACAGTTCAGGTCAGTGGTTTTTCGAATATTCAGTGGGATTGGAAGAGGATTGAATTCCTTTTACTAAAATTTGTTCTGAAAGAAACAACTTATACAGAAGGTTAAGAGACTGGTTGGTTAGATCTGATGAATTTCCATGTGAAACTACCAAGAGTGAAGTAAGTAGGAGAAACTTCTATGAAATGCTGTATTTACATTTTCACTTTTCTTACATTTATCAATAACTCTAATACACTTTATAAAAATGTTTATTCTCATGGGATTTAAATGTGACATTTAGAAGCTAAAATTTTACCCAAAGAATGAATCAAAGCAAACTACCATATGTGAATTTGCTGACACCTAGTGGGGAAAATTTAAACAGTCTACATTGGAGGATAATTGCAGATTAAAGATTTGCTATATATTTGTATGTAAAAACTGCTTTGTTGTTTTCCTTTAAAGTAGAGACAATTATTTTTTTAGCAAGTGCTGGTATTTACAGTTTCAGATACCATTTTCTTTGTTTATGCTAGTAGATTTCATCTTAAGATCTGGACCTTTTTGTTTCTTTTTTCCCTGACTTTACTTTTCAGTGACCAACTGCCAAGACAATTCTTCCCCAATATGAGCATTTCCCCTCCCCTTCCCCATACCTCTCACTGAATATCAGAAAATGATGGTTTCTGATCAACACCACTCTTGGTAAACTCTTTGTATATAAGCCTATTGGTATATTCATATTCCATAATATCAAAATTAGAAATATCAAAATCAACATGTCTTTTGTATAGACAATTTTCATCTTAAATAAGGGTTGCAAAAAGGTCATCACTACCAGAAGGCTGGCAGTTCAAACGCACCAGCCACTCCTTTGAAGGAAGGTTGGGCGATCTACTTCTGTAGTGATACTGGCTAGGAAACCCAAGGAGGGGTAGCTATGAGTTAGATCGGACTCATCAGCAGTGTTTTTTTTTTTATATGACCTTGGATGAATGATCTGTCTTCCTGGTGCTATTCTACCATCTGCAAAAACGAGGATTAAAGGAGTCCCTGGATGATTCAAACAGTTATGTGCTTACCTACTAACTAAAAGTTTAGCTGTTCAAGCCCACTCAGAAGCACCTTAGAAGAAAGGCCTGGTGGTCTGCTTCTGAAAGATTGCAGCCTTGAAAACCTCATGAAGCAGTTTTACTCTGACACTCTTAGGGTCTTCACGAATCAGAATTGACTCAAAGACATCTGTTTGTTTGTTTTTGAGGATTAAATAAATTAATATATTTAAGTGTTTTAAACAATACCTAGCACATAGTAACTCCAAATAAGCTATATGTATAACTAACAATATATGTATATCAAACCAGTTCCAATAGTATAAAGAACATCACAACTGATTTCCAGACTCTCACTAGAGAATACAGCCTTGCATTCCTGCAGTCTAAAGCTTAATCAAATTGAGAAAGGGGATGTCCGCCAGATGGGCATGTAGTTCACTCATTCCTCTAGATCAGGCAGACAAAGAAAAAGGGTATTCTAGGCTAAGAATGTATGAGTATCATCATAGAAATAGGAAAGTAGAGTGTTTGTGTTACAGGGGAAAGAACTTAGATTGGAGAAGCCAAGAAGGAAGAACAATTGTGGGCTACCTGCTATGTGTTGGGTATTATGCTAGACAATTTCACTGACTGGGAGTGCAAGGGTGAGAGAAGGACAGGGAATGCTCAGAAAATGTTTTCTGATACTGTTTTCAGATGATGTGACTCCAGTGACTCAAGAATCATTCACAGAAGATCCAAGTAAGCTATTTTGTTTTCCTAAATTGGGGATAGAAGGATGACATCAATGCAAAGAAAAATAAAAACTAGAAGAGAATAGTGGGCAGTCTAAGTTCACACATGAACTCTGGAAACATGCCAAACTTTATTATCTCTTCCATTTCTTTCTGTGATGTTGTTAGTTGCCTTTGAGTCAGGCTTTAAACCATGGCCACCCATGCACAATGGATTGAAAGGCCGCCGGGTCTTGCACCATCCCTATGATCAGACCGGGGATCGGATTGTTGTGACTCTTAGGGTTTTCATTGGCAGATTGGCAAAAAAAAAATCAGGCCTTTCTTCCTAGTTTGTGCTAGTCTGGAAGCTCTACTGAAACCTGGTCATCATATCACAACATGTAATCCTCCATTGACAAGTGGGTGGTGGCTACATAAGAGATGCATTGGCCAGGAATTGAAACCAGAGTCCACATTCTTTCACTTAAATTTTCCTTATCCCCTTTTGGGTCACCATCTCTTTATCTTGCTTCCTTTCGTTATTTTTCCTATCTACATTTTTTTTTTTTTCCATTCTTTGCAGATCTGGTAAATGATCCTGCCACAGATGAAACAGGTGAGTTTTATCACATTTCTGAATGATTCTTGTTGATTTCAGCTCTGAAATTAAGCCTACATTTATATCTCTGGGAAAGTGACAAAGGGTTTATGGGAGTGTTGTTCACATTCATTGGAATAAAAGGAAAGAGAGACCTTCTAATCCTCTAAGAAGAGGAAATAAAATGGATTAGGGCATGGATAATACAAAACCAAAAAAAGCCACTGCTATCGAGTCAATTCCTACTCATAGGGACAGGACAGAATAAAACTGCCCCACAGGCTGTAAATCAAATGTCTCATCTTTCTCCCATGGAGAAACTGGTGGGTTTGTACTGCTGATCTTTTGCTTAGCAGCCGAATGCTTTAATCACTATGTCACCATGTTGTTGTTGTTGTTATGTGCCATCGAGTCGGCCTGGACTCATAGCGACCCCTCCTTGGGTTTCTGAGGCAGTATCACTACGGAAGTAGGATTGCCCAACCTTCCTTCTGAGGAGTGGCTGGTGGGTTTGAACCGCCAGCCTTCTGGTTAGCAGTCAAGTGCCTTAGGCACTATGCTACCAGAGCTCCATGGGTAATATAAAAACCAAAACCAAACTCACTACCATTGAGTTGATTCTGACTCATAGTGACCCCCGCTGGGTTTCTGAGGTGTATCTTCTTTCTGCAGAGTGGCTGATGGGTTTGAACCACCAGCCTTCTGGTTAGCAGTCAAATGCCTTAGGCACCGCACCATCAGAACTCCTTATGGATATTAGGGCAAGGGTCAAAGCTACAGCTAGGTTTGTGTGCTATGTCAAAAGGAGTAAAATTAATTAAAATAATTGTGAATATTTATGGAAAAATATTGCTCCTATTGACTTCCAAAATTGTCAATAGAACCAATATTTTTCCATGAATAAGTATTTTTTTCCATAAATAAATATTTACCATTGTTGTTGTTAAGTGCCGTCGAGTCGTTTCCGACTCATAGCGACCCCATGCACAGCAGAACGAAACACTGCCCGATCCCGCGCCAGCCCCACAATTCCTGCTATACTTGAGCCCATCATCGCAGCCACCGTATCAATCCATCTCCTTGAAGGCCTCCCCCTCTTTCGTCGACCCTTACTTTTCGTCACCATTACTTCAATTAATTTTGCTTCCTTTGACGTAACACACAAAACTACTCATAGCCTTACCCCTTGCTTAATATCTCCATTCCACCTTTTCCTTTTCTGCCTCTTACCCCTTGTCAATTCAAAGCCCTCCTCACACCTGCTATTTTGTGCCTTTTCAGTTCTGGCTGATATGGAGCCTTCTACACATGAACTGGGTGAGTTCAGATCTGGGATCCTAGGGCCACCAGGGCCATTCTGGGCTTTCCCCAGAGCCCATATGGAAGGCAGTGCAGTTGGTGATAGATCCTAAATAAACAGGATTGCAGTATATGTAACACATTTTTTCTATATTTTAATTCAAATCGATACACATTTTGAGCCCCTAAATGCAGGAACTATGCTGGGTGTTTGAAAATACTAAGACATACTCTTTCTGTCAAACATTCTAAGATTTTGGGTGGAGTGAAGGGGAGACAAATTCGTGTTTGGGAAGATAAAAGAAAAATTACTAGAAGTAATGCTTGAATTGAATCTTGAAAGAAGAATTGAAGTAAGGTAGACATCCAGGGAGAGGATAGGCATTCTAGCCGGAGGGAATAGCAAATTCAGAGGTATAAAAGCAATATAAAGCTTGGTACATAGGAAAACTCTTTGGAACATCTATGGAAAAAAAAAAAAAACAAGGAAAAAGTTGGGGGTGCCTTATAAAAAGTAAAAAAAAAAAAAATTACACACAGAAAGGAACATTTTTTGATGGTTACCAGGTATGAGGGAGAGGGAGGGAAAATCACTAACTAGAGAGTAGAATGTATTAACTTCTGTGAAAGGAAAAGCAATGTACAGTAAGGGAAAAGCAATGTACAGTAGGGAGGCAAAGGAAGAGATGGGAGGTGCACAAGAGTAAAAGGCAACCAAGATAAATACCATTAGATATAAAATCCTATAGTAATAACAAACAACAATCTACAAGTGGATACATAGTTAAACCTGGCACATGGGAGTATACTCACAAATATGTATAGGTTTGGCAGAGGATATTTCTACACATGTATTTGTATGTGCTGCAAAGTATCCATGTATGTAGTAGAGCATACAAGGGGCAATGTTATAAAAACTTCTTAGCCATAACCAGTCACTGGGCTTGGGGGTTTAGGATTATAGTCTTAGGGGACACTAAGATCAATTGGCATAACATAGTCCACAAGGACAATGTTCTACAGCCTACTTTGGTGAGTAGCAACTTAGGTCTTAAAAGCGTGTGAGCAGCGATCTAAGATAAAAATGTTGGTCTCTCCTCATTGGGAGCAGAGAAGAGTGAAGAAAATCAAAGACTCAAATAATTTGTCCAAAGGACTAATGGACCAAGCAAACCACACCCTGAGACAAAAACTAGATGGTGCCCGACTACTGACTACTGTGTTTGGGATCACAATGGAAGGTTCTGGATAGAGTGGGAGAAAAATGTAGGACAAAATTCAAACTATAAAAAAAATGACCAGACTTAGTTGTCTGATAGAGACTTGGGGAACTCCCGAGACTATGGCCTTTAGACACCCTTCGAACCTGGAATTGAACCCCCTTCTAGGAATCACCTTTCAGTCAAACAATATAGATCTATAAACAATATGCCTTCCTCAGAACAAGCAAATATAGGAGACCAAAATGGAAGCATTTACCCAAAAACAAAGCTCAGAAGGCAGAAATGGGCAGGAAAGGATGAATGGTTATAAGGAATCCAGGGAGGAAGTGGGAAAAATGCCGTTACATTGAAGGGGTTGCAACTAATGTCACAAAACAAAATGTATATAAATTGTTGAATGGAAATCTAATGTTAAAACAAAACCAAACAAAAAAAACACTAACATAGAAAATCTGTAGAGTTCAAGCCAGGTGTTTTAGCTTCAAATATCCAGATATTTGAAGGCAGGCATGTGTTTGTATGTGTATGTATGTACTTATTATGTATATATGTGTATATTTACTATGAGGGAGCATTCAGGCTTACAAGATAAGTTCCTTGTATTAGGTACTCTATACACTACTGCTCATTAAGATTTGTTAAACAAAACTTTGATGTAAACAAAACAAATTTTTTAAAGTAGGGGGATGTGGAAACTAGAAGAGGAGATAAAAGATAAGATTATTTTAACAAATATTTATTAAAAGTCTACTATGTATGTAGGTGCCAGGGATATAAAAGAAGCCAAACAAAAGCTACTGCCATGGAGTCGATTTCCATGCAAAGCAAATAATAGGACAGAGTAGAACTGCCCCATGGGGTTTCCAAGGCTATAAATTTTTACAGAAGCAGAGTGTCATCTTTCTCCTGTGGAATGGCTGGTGGCTTCAAACTACTGACCTTTTGTTAGCAGCTGAATGTTTTAACCACCAGGGCGCCATCAGAGCTCCTTAGGTAAACAGAAGGGGAAGAAATTTTCAGATGAAGAGAATAAATGGGGTTAGGACGGAAGTGAAAGCCTAGTGCAAAGCGTTTGTACAGGAGGTGATCCTAATCAGATTTGTGCGCTGGAAAGATCACTCTGAATGGCAATGTGGAAAACCAAGAGAGGTTGCTATGAGTTGGATCCAACTCCATAGCACTGAGGTTTCTTTTAAGCCTGGGACTAGGAAAACTGGTGAAAATCTATTGCAGCTGTTCCAATAAAATATGGCCTGAATCCAGGAAGAGGTAGTGAGATTTGAGCATAGACTATCAGGAGAAAGGAATTGTTGAGAGAATGTCCAGATTTTCGGTGAAGGGAAAGATGAACTTGAATTGGTGTATCCGGTGTGAGAAATGATAAATTTAAGGATCTTTGAAAAATCTAAGAAAAATGTTTAGGTCTGGAGTTTAGGTGAAAGATCTGGACCAGAAATATATTTGGGGATTATCAGCATATAAACTTGTGATTAAAATTATGGAACAGATGAGAACACCCAGCATACTTCCTAGTGTCCTATCTCTTACTAACTCTTCCAATGGCAACTCTCCTGGATTGTCTATTGCCAAAGTACTCACTTAATTCCTTGGCATGTTCTCCATTTGGGGAACTAGATCCATATTTAACTTGCCATTAGCTTACGTTTGGCTATGGTATGACTCTATCCCTTACCAACCCTGATGAGGTATCTAATTTACAGAGAAGTTTTCTCTCCTGAGGAGGAGTTTCTTGTTGTTATGTGCTGTCGAGTTGGACCTGACTCATAGCAACCCCTCCTTGGGTTTCCGAGGCAGATCACTACGGAAGTAGATTGCCCCATCTTCCTTCCGAGGAGTGGCTGGTGGGTTTGAACCACCAGCCTTCTGGTTAGCAAGTCAAGTGCCTTAGACACTATGCTACCAGAGCTTTCTCTCATTAGCCTTAGGATAAAGCCTTTCAGGGCATATGACTCTGCCTTGTTTTCTTTTTAAATTTGATACTTGTCAACAATAAAGTGTACAGAGGGTTCTTAAGTTTCTGGGATAGAAAGAAAGACAGTATCAGATTTCGCACCCGAGCTCCTAAATCTCTTCAATTTTGTGGCATCACAGGTTTTCTTTAAGAGATTGCTATAAGAGTTATCCAATCTTTATTCTCTATTCACAGAGACCCAAAGTAGGTCCTAAATGAGGCAAAATGACAATACAGAGGTAGTCACTTCTGGAACTAGTAATGACTGAATAAAATTTCTGCTTTTCAGCCTCACCCAATGACAAAAATACCACCACAGGTATGTCTCTTGCATGTCTTTTTCTTGTTTCATTTTTGTCTTTCCTGGTGCCCTTATGTCCTTGTTCTGTTGTGGGTACTTGGTGCATCTAGTTTACTGCCAATTCTTTTTGAGAAAGTATTTTTAGTGCACTCATTCCCCCCTTGTCTTTATGAAAAATGAAGCCTAAAAGCCATAGGAAGAAAGATAGGACCACTATGGCATAGTCCTGAAATAGACTTTTTCTTGAAATACCCTTGGAATTGATGTTTAGTGGGTTGGGAAGTGAAATCAGTTGGGCTAAAATTGCTTCCCCTAATGTACTGATAATTCTGATATGCAGCTAGAGTTGAAAACTACTGAAACAGAGAATTAGTGACCTGTCTGAAAATTCTTATTCTTCAGAATGGGATTATGAGTAATTCAGTGTAGTATTTCATATTGCCATCTGGATAATCCTAGAAGGACTTTTTACTAGTAGGATCTTCAGAAATTATTTTATCACACCCTTGCTTCCAGGTACAGAAAATGCCTAAAATTTCAATTTAGCCAAATTCCTCTTGCTCTGCTTTGCTTAGTAGAAAAGACATGCCCCAATTTACAATGATTCTCTATAAAGACTCAGGATTTTCTCCCACTCTATCTCAATGTCCTTATCCCTTTAATTCATTGTTTATGCCTCTCCTATATACACCTCATTTTTTGTATTGGGCTTTTTCAGAGTGCCGAGATGAGAAATTTCCTTGCACAAGACTCTACTCTGTGCACCGCCCAGTCAAGCAATGTATTCATCAGTTGTGCCTCACCAGGTACGGCATCCCAGTATGGCCACAGGGCATCTTCCACGGTGTTTTCATGTCAGTAACTACTAAATGAGAGCCAGCTATGGAATTGCAGTGTTTGATAGAACAAAAATTTTGAACTAACTCTCCTTGCTATTCTTTTTTTTTTTTTTCTTATTAGGATTTGGGTGAAGATTTACAGAGTAAATTCACTTTTCACACAGCAGTTCACATATACTTTGTCTCATGTCATTGACCAAAATTTACAATGCAGCAGCTCCCCTCCCACTTCCTCCCCATAGTTACCTCCTCCCAGTGTCCATCCCTTCATACTCTTCTGCACCCTGAGCTATCTCCCTGTGCATAAGCAGCCCTTCCTTCTCCCATGATTGTTCTCTCCAGGGTGTGTGTCTACTTGAGGTAAATGTTTAACTCACATGCCTGTACTTTGTTTGGCTGGAAACCACAGTTGTGGGTTCAATTCCAGACCTGAAGGGCAGCTAGGGGCCATAGTCTCAGTGGTTACACCAGGCTCCATTGGACCAGCAAACCTAGTCCCCACCTTCTTTTTTTTTTTTTTGCCTCCAAATGATTTTGAGTTTTGTTCCACATTGTTCTCCCTCTTCATGCAGGATCTCCTACATCCCTTCCAAGTGGATGGCAGTGGTAGCTGGGCACCATCTAGTTCTTCTGGTCTCATAGTTGTATAGGTTGCAGATCGGATGGTGTACCAGTCGCTAGGACTGATTGTTTCCATTAATTTTGGTTTTCTTCTTTCTTCTTGACGAGGAGAGACCCGTTGTTGCATCTAGATGGCAGCTTCCTAGCTTTTAAGGTCCCAGTCGCTACTCGCCAAAGTAGTAGGTGGAACAATGTTTTGTATAGTATGTTATGCCAATTGAGCTTGATGTCCCCTGCGACTATGTCCCAAGCCCGCTCTCCTTGCTATTCTTGAAGGTGCCAGCTAGAACCTGGGTTGAGGTGTACAGAGAATAAGGGTGATTGACAGGCCTAGACATTAGAGGACATATGACAGTGAAGGTTGGAGAAAGGAGGGTTGTGAGGGAAACAATGCTAGATTGATTTTATCACCTGGTAGAAAAAGGCTGAAGCAAAAGGTACAGCTATGAAGGTAGTAAATAGTTGGGGGAAAAAACCCCAAACCAAACTAACTGCTGTGGAGTGAGATCTAACTCATAGCAACCCCTCCTTAGGTTCCGTCGGTATCACTACGAAAGTAGATTACCCAATCTTCCTTCCGAGAAGTAGCTGGTGGGTTTGAACTGCCAGCCTTCTGGTTAGCAGTCAAATGCCTTAGGGACTATGTACAAAATAGCAGGAAGGAATATTAAGCGCCTCTAGGTCAGAAAATGTGCACTGTCACTAAGAATGGTAATTTACACAATTCTATCCCCTACACTCCTCCAAAAAGAAAAAAAAAAAAAAGTCCAAAATAGTCAACCAAATCTAGATTGTGGGAGAGGGGGAAGAAAACAGTGGGGGAATACAGGAATTAAAGAGGCATCCTAAACCTAGAATAATTTTTCCTCTCAATGCCTTTTATATCTCTTTCCTTGACTATGACTTTGGGACTGTGGCAGCTTACGGCGTATGTACATCATCAATAATGAGATATGCTCCCGTCTTGTCTGTAAGGAACATGAAGTTATGAAAGGTAAGATGATGTCAGGGGGTTTACTCGGGAGAGACAGTTATGAGAGACACTGTGTTAGTTGATCTACTACTATGAAGCAAGGACAAACAAGAGGAGGTTCAGTCTATTCTCTTAGTTTCCACCAGCCCCTTTATTCCATTTGCTCAAAATAAACAATCGATGTAAAATCTATGTAAGATACAAGCATAACCTAAGAAAAGTACCATAGATCCTTTTCCAACTAGATTTTAACTCCCAATCTTTCCTATACATACAGCTGCTTTTGAAGATCACTCACTGGCGAAGAGGACAAGCAAGTTGTTACAGATAGTAGATTTTCCTAGTCAGCAACTATGTTCATAACTCTAAATAAGAAAAAGAAAAACAAACAAACACTAATTTGGAGGCAGTAAGGTTTGTATAGGGCCTATAGATTAAAAATGTTGGACATTTAGAAACTAGCCACACTGTAAATATGCTCCAATTTCAAGACTCATTGACATAATAAGCATTGTGAAATTTCAGAGGTAGGAGAGAAGACTATTAAAACAAAAGGCCCAAGCATATGGTGATAGACCATGCATGGTGGGAACAAAGATACTTCTCACCTTCCCCATGACCAGCCCCAAACCATGTCTGTGGTTAATGAAGGCACCACAGACACAGCCACTTCTTACTCACCAGTCCGCTTTGCACTGACCTCTTGAGTAAGAGCTGTAGTTAACTTCAGAGAAGGAAACTTATCGCTTTCCCCAGTTGGCTCTGGGCAAGCCACCTGCAAAAGCCCCTTGAGATTGAGGATGAGTATTTGGGACTCGAGGCACTTTCACAACTGGACATAATAAACAACATCATGATAAATGTAAAAAAAAAAATTATTCAAGTTGTCAAGTATTTCATTTTTCTTGGATCCACATCAATGAACATGGAAGCAGCAGTCAAGAAGTCAAACCACATTTGCAGACAGGCAGTGGGCAAATCTGGTGCAAAAGTGTCTTTAAAGTGTTAAAACACAAAGATATCACTTTGAGGAATAAGCCCATGACCAAAACCATGTTGTTTTCAATCTCCTCAATGCATGTGAAAGCTGGATAATGAATATGGAAGACCAAAGAAGAATTGATGCCTTTGAATTATGGTGTTGGTGACGAATATTGTATGCAATGGACTGCCAGAAGAATGACTAGAAGAACACATCCACCTTGGAAGAAGTACAGCCAGAATGCTCCTTAGAAGCAAGGAGGGGGGGACTTCTTCACGTGTATTTTGTATATGTTATTAGGAGGGACCTGTCCCTAGAGAAAAACATAATGCTTGGTAAAATTGAGAGTCCCTCAATAAAATGGATTGATACAGTGGCTGCAACAATGGGCTCAAACATGGCAAGGATTGTGAGGAAGGTACACACTGGGCCGTGTTTCATTCTGTTGTATATAGGATTGCTATGAGTAGAAACTGACCTAATAGTACCTAACAACAGGCACTTCAAATGTCTCAGGGGACTTACTAAAGTTAGTTATTTGCACAAAGTAAAACTTTGTGTACTGAATGATTGGATTTAATTTTTTCTATTTAATAGGTCCATGATTAGAAGGATTGGAAGCTAGGGTATAAAGGAAACAGTCACTGACCACCTGCTATGTTTCAAATACTGTGCTTATTACTTTGCTTATTTTACAGAATGGGATAGTGAATTTCAGACAACTTTCTAGTAAGTGGCAGCACTTGGGTTCTAACCCAAATTTGTTTCTCTTCAATTTTTTTCACACCACTACACTGCAAAGACTTCTCTTTGCCTCAAAACATGAGCTTTTGGTATCTTCCTGCAATCTCATCCTTTTTTCTCTTCTAGATGAACTTTGCCGACAGATGGCTGGCCTGCCCCCAAGACGACTCCGTCGCTCCAACTACTTCCGACTCCCTCCTTGTGAAAATTTAGATTTGCAGAGACCCAATGGTCTGTGATCAAGGAAGAGGAAAGAAGAAATAAAGTGTGGGTGGGAGGAAGGGAGTACTCTAGGAAAACAGAATTCCTTCTTGTCTAGATAATCAGTCAGATAACCCAGAGACATTAGTATTGGTATTAGTTAACCCTTTCAAAACTGAATTATTTTCTGCTTTGAATATTTTGTTGAAACCATGTGTTTTCAGTAATGGAAGGCATTTCAGAAATGATAAAAACTTTTTGAAGTAATATGGATTTTGGTGTAATTAGGGGGACATATATGTTCCAATGGGGTCTCTGGTGCTGGGGTTGGTGGGCTGAGGCCTGTTTCTTCAGATTCATGCAGTTACACAGGCTCCAGGAATGGCAACATAAACTAAAAGTGGGACAGCAGCTTCCCACTAAACCTCAGGGGCAGAAAATGTAGGTGGGCACTATATGTCCTACAGGTATGAAAGAGTTAAATCAATCCCTTTGCTTTGTTCAGCTTTTGTCTCCACTTTTTTTTTACCTAAACTGATTACATTTATCTCATTTTTCAGTACTTAAAAGTACAGTCTACATTATTGCATGGTTTTTCTACTTCCCAATATAATAGTCATAGTGGGTAAATGATGACCATGTTGCTTATATACAAACATTCTATATACAATTTCAGGGGAATATAAACATTAGGTTAATAACCAATGTGAGATAGATTATTGGGTGAAAGAAGGTACAGTTGTCTCTTTTAACTAGCCACAGGACTTCATTTATTTTCCTTTTCAAGAGTTCCCCACTCAACTACATGTTCCTTTTTGCTCTTATTTTCACTATTCTGCTGAATTGTCTTGTCCCAGCATTTGCCTGAGATATTTATGAAAAGGATCACAGTAATATTTGTAGTCCAAGAAAATTGTCTAGTAGAACCAAGAAATACACAATACCACCAGCAAAATGTTGTCTTCTGCTAAAATGAGAGATAGGGGCTAAAGAGAGGAGCTAGATCATAAACTTAGACCAATGATTCCCTATCCAATTTTTCATGCAGGTTGTCCAATCTGAAGGCAGGATTGGAAACTAGGTCTCATTTATAGTAGTACCTGGGGTTGGCCCACCCACCTCCACAAAGCAAATTAGACAACTTCATGGGAAACCATACCATTGAGCTGAGTTTCCTTGAGCTGTTGCTGCTTCTTCGTGCTACTTTACATTATGCTACATTATCCTAGCCCTAGCAGTAACCGTGTAGCCTCAGAAAAGTCATTTTCCCTCATTAAACCAAAACCAAATCCATTGCCACAGAGTTGATTCTGACTCATAGTGATCCTTTAGGACAGAGTAGAAATGCCCCACAGAGTATCCAAGGCTGTAAATCTCTATAGAAGCAGACTGCCACATGTTTGTCCTGCAGAGTGGCTGATGGGTTAGAGGTGCTGAACTTTTGGTTAGCTATCTTGAAAATGAGAAAAGTTAAATTTATATTAGTTTTAGGTTCATTTAACTCTGTAATTCTCTGGATTGAAAAGCATTATTCATTTTTTTCTGAAGCTCAGATGCAGTCTAATTCAAGGAGGAAAACTATGCTATATTAGGACAGTAGCCCACAATATAATAGGAAAAAACTATTAAATGAGTAATAAATTATGTATTATAGACCATTTTCCTCTGAATAACCCCAATAACTTTCTATAAGAGCCAATGGATGTCAAATAGGAGTTTTGGGTTTAAGACCAATTACATATGACAATTCCACTCTTAGGGTTTACATTCCTTTCCTATTGCTGAGAAACTAGCCAAATGAAGAGTCAAACTTTTGCTGTTAAAGAACAAGTTAGTTTAAAGGGATTTGTACAATTGGTTAAAGAGAAATGCTAGAAAAAGCACAAAGCATGTAATCTCTACTCCACATTCTCTAGAATTAAGTGTACTCGTATATAGACAGACACATTAATGCATATTGTAGCCACTGTAGAGAAACCTCATAGGGAGAGTTTCTAAGAATCACTGAAGAACCTTTTCATGAGCTTGACCCTCCTACTACATATTGAACGGGAGGTGGCATTCCCACCAGACAACATCTCAATCCCAATATTGTGTGTAATACAAATTAAACATGTTAAAATAATAATAAAAAAAAAATCTAATTTTTCCCCAGGAGACAGTGGTCTGTGTTCTGTTATTTCTCTTTCTCCTCTCTTTCATGTTTGCAAAGAATTTATCTTTTACCTCACTTTGAAAACTAAGTACAAACATTGCTCAAATTATTCCTTTGTGCAGTTTTTTTTATTCCATTCTTCATCACTTTATTTCCCCTACTCTAGATGTGGCCTTCTTAGGCTCAACAGAACTTTTTTTCTTTTTTGCTCCCTTTAGCCCGCTATGTTTTACCATCACCAATTGTTCTATGTTCTCTACCCTTTTTCACTCTGTTTTGATAGCAAAACATTTTCCCATCCTTTCTTTTCTCATCCATAGATAGTCTTAGTTTTCTCCATAACTTTCCCCTAGTAATTGTGTCAGGTCAAAGTTTCAGGAGATTGCTTTTGGTCCCAATTCTTTCCCTCTACAACCTTTTCCTCATTTTCATGTTTCTTCTCAGGATGCTTGAGTTCTTTCTGTTCTCCCTTCCATGAAAAGATTCGAAAACTTACCACTATTTAAGCTACTGACATTATTCTTTTCCTGCTGAGCTCCAGTGAGATCCTTGCTACTATTTTAATAAAAACCTCTGATTTAAATCAAAATAATGGATCTTTAGTGTTGAAATGAAAGAATTTAGTAAAAGTATGCTTAGACTTTTTTTTTTTTTTTTAAATTGAATGACTTTCTAGTGCCTTGACATTGTACAGTAAGTAGATAGCAGCCTACCCAAAGGCTCACCTTTACTTCTCTTCCCAAATTGACTTGATTCTGCTCTGAACCTTTTTCCATCTTTCATTCTTATAATTGAAGAAAATGGTCCTTTATCCTCGAATGAGCAGATTCTGAAAATCCAAGTGTGTACCATATTCTCAAAATAGAGTTCCATGCACGCTTTCTCTTAGTATTCTTTTGACTCACAGGCAGATGTGCAAACCTCAGCTGGTCTCCCACTTCTGGGCCTTCCTTTTGATGACATCCACTACTACAGATTGCTAGCCACAAGCTCCTCCCCACTCTGTCTGCTTCAGAGTGTTGTTGGATGTTTAACCAAACCCCCCACACCTGGTCAGAAGGCACCAGCAACTTGCTACTTCTAAGGTTTCTCTTCCTTCTGCACTGAAGCAGCTATAACACCATGAAAGGAGAAGGAAATCTGAGAAAAAACAGAAGACACAAGAACACCAGACAAAAGGGATAAGTAGGTGGGAAAGTGATGATGGGTTGACATCAGGGCAGGGGAACCTGGAGGCTGGAAGATGAGAGCAGGGAATATGAAAAGTGTTAAGGGGTCCTGAGAAATCTGGAAATTTACAAGGTGGAATGGAAGGATCTGAGGAGCACAGTGGAGGAGGAACAGGATAATCCTTACAGTTTTGCCAATATGTAGGGAGGCAGAATTAGGCTTAAAATGTAACACTCCAATACAAATTGAGATTCTTGTAACTTTTAGCATTTTCACCGTCCAAATATCAGGGAAAGTGACTTGTTGAGGTTTTCTTGTGGTAGCGTGGGGAACAGGTGGCTACATTTTTTTTTCAAAAAAAAAAAAACCAGTCAAGTAGAGCCAGAAGCAGCAGTCAGTGGTCAACTTCTGGGCAGAACCCAAGACGGAAAAAGCAAATGTTGTTTTTATATAAATAGAAGTGCAGAGCCCAAAGCTTCCTGTTGACAAATCAAGCCTCATTTCATCTCAAGCCCTCAAGCTTTTTTAAATAGCTGATTTTTTTTTTCTTTCAGCTTTTGTCTAATCACATTGAGCAAGATTCTACTTTTTTTGTTAACTCCTGGTTTTGTGATGCTTCCTCTCTCTCTCTGGCACTTTTTCCTCTCCCTAGTCCTTTTCCTTTCTTCTACCGGCTTACCTCGCCATATAGCTTTGTGGGGCATTATTAAATTTATGTAACAGTCCATAGGAATTGAATTCAGTATGATCTCATTAATTTGTGTGATGGGCCCCACCATCACCACACACAAAAAGCAGTAGATGAGTTTTGAGCAAGTATAAGTGTTGTTGTTGTTGTTGTTGTTATTATGTGCCGTCGAGTCGAACCCGACTTGTAGTGACCTCTCCTTGGATTTCCGAGGCAGTATCACTACGGAACTAGATTACCCCATCTTCCTTCCGAGGAGTGGCTGGTGGGTTTGAACCTACCCCATCTTCCTTCCGAGGAGTGGCTGGTGGGTTTGAACCTACCCCATCTTCCTTCCGAGGAGTGGCTGGTGGGTTTGAACCGCTTCTGGTTAGCAGTCAAGTGCCTTAGGCACTCTGCTACCAGAGCTCCCAAGTATAAGGGTAAACAACCTGAATTATACCTAAGGGGTTGATGTCTATTAAAGGATCAATTGCACCCAGAGTAGCATGGCTTATATTGGTTCCTAATATGTTGTTCTCCAAATGCTAAAACCAAGAATCACAATGAAGGGTAATGAGAACTGAACAGAAAAACATTTCTTCTATTTGTATAAAATTATAATGAGCTCTGGTGGTATAGTGTTTAAGGCTGTGAACAAAAATGTCAGTGGTTCGAAGCAACCAGCTGCTCCATGGAAGAAAGATGGGACAGTCTGCTTCCAAAAAGATTTATAGCCTTGGAAACCCAATGGGAGTCACTATGAGTCTGAATTGACTCAACAGCAGTGAGAGTTTTGGGTACTGTATAAAATTATATCTATTCATCTTGAAATTGGATGGAATGTGTGTGTGGGGTGGGGATGGAAATAAAATAGTATTAATATAAATAAGAACCCAAACTCAAGTTTTTTCTGACTCATAGCAACCCTGTAGGACAGAATAGAAATGCCCTATTAGGTTGCTAAGGCTGTAAATCTTTATGGAAGCAGACTTCCTTCTTTCCTTCCCACAGCAGCTGCTGTGTTCAAACCACTGACCATTCAG